GATGTCTTCTCCGGCGCTGATAATTGGTGTCTGTCTTGTGTCAGTGACATAAGACACGGATTTAATGCGACATGACCATTCAAACAGCAGTCGCTTTCTAAAACATCAGATATGTATCGGATTCAGTAACACATATGAAAGTAGCCCAGATCGGATTTGAAAATATCGGATTTGTGCTGTTCACACTGTCATACCATGATCGGATATGGGTCGCACAGGGTCAAAAAAGTCGGATTTGATGTGCTTTCGCCTGCCATCTGAACGTAGCCATAGATGGCTTCTTTTCCTCCTATTTCAAACCATCTGTCTTCTCTGTCCAAAATTTAACATTGGCGTCCTCAAAAGAGTGACCTTTGTCCTTTAGATGGAGATGGACCGCTGAGTCTTGTCCCGTCGAGGTGGAGCCATGCGTTTGTGAAGTGGCTGTTTGGTCTCTCCAATGTAGAGGTCTGAACATTCCTCGCTACACAGTACAGCATATACTATGTTGCTAAGTTTGTTTTTAGGAGTTTTGTCTTCGGGATGAACCAGTTTTTGTCGGTCTTAAAGTCCAGACACATTTCTTTCGAAGCTCCACAGACTATTATTGCCAGTATTTAACATGTGCATACACACCTTGAAAACTTGACTTAAAACAGCGTTTCTGAGACACCAAACTTCTGCGTACTTCATGCAACAATAAAATACCTCAGATTTGTGTCTGTGCTGCTGAACACGGCACGTCATGTGTTTTACTTTAGGAAGCTCCCCTCTGGAGTGTGTTTATGAGCACTCACGGTGGTCCAGGACTCCGGCTGGATAATGGTCGGTCCTCTCCAGAGTCCTGAAGTGGACGGCACGGCTGGGTGGGCTGTCACCGTGCGGCCCAACGGACTGCACCTACATCCAACAAGGGGGAAAAAAGTATTTAGAGGGAATGTTAAGATATTTTTAAGCAAAGGTAGAGCCAAGCTGATGACAGCTGAGCACAAACTCTGGGTGCATTCTTACAGTGGCATTAACAAAGGACAACATTATGCAACGATGGTAAGAAACTGGCTGCCGAGGGTATATTTAGTGAGCGAGCGGTGCTTTGGCTTTTGGCCGTGATCCTGAATGATCATTGGAGGACGCTGAGTAAAAGCTTGAAAGGCAACAGAGAGAATATGAATTTAAGCTATAAGCTCATTTGGGGACATTTTCAGTCACTGGGAAAGATTATAAAATTAGGCTTTGTGTAAAAAATAAACACGTGTTAATGGTGTTTCACATTCAAATCGGGCTGCAGTGGAGTTTTGTAACAGGAAGCACTCAGTTTAATGCACACACAGGGAAATCAATCAATCACAGAGATAAAATTACATCCACACGAGGTCTCAATGTGCCACAGATGCTCTCTCCACCTACACAACACAGCCAACGGCAGTATGCAGCAAGTTTTCTGTGGAGTGTATGAAGTAAGTCCTTGAATTTAGAGTGTTTGTTCTCCTCTAATTCTACAGTCTGATGCCTGCAAAGTGTCCTCTGCAAGCTCTAATCTGTCCCCTCATCCTGGATAACAACACCCAACTCCATTGGGAAATTCATCCTTAATTTTTAACCTCCCCGCACGCCAAAGGGAGGTCAGAGGTCAAATTCAGCCCCCTCTGGACCTCACCGGGCAGCAATGCATTGCTCAATGACACTTTCGCAGGACATCTGTCTGCTGACGAGCACATTGAAGCAAGTCCTGCAGCTGAAGGACAGTCTGCAGTCTGCGTCAGTCTGTTAGGCTATAAAAATTTAATAGCACCACGATAATGGAGTCACATTAGAGACTCCCTCTTCAGAGAGGAGCTGCAGTTTTAGTTTAAACTTTCAGAACAGAGACGTGTCACTGTTTAGGTTGATCAAACACTGACACTTGATTTAAGAAAAAATGCTTTGTCATCATCTAAGAAAGTTTCTCAGCTGTGATGCAGATGATCCATCTATTCGCTAACCAAGCATTAAATGATACTGAAATAATTAACATAATTAAAATGGTAATTAATGTTTTTATGAGAGGTTCAGCAGTGTTTTTCAGCCCTGGATAAGCAATTTGTAAGGTTGCCAGGTTGTGAAAATATCAAATTATTTTACATTTATGTGGACTTGTGCTTAAAATATGAGTTTATAATCAGCTTTCAGCTTCATTACACTGAGTAATACATAGATATACAGTTTTGGTCAGACGTTTACATCCACTCATCATAGGCATGAATGTCGTGGTAATTTTGGGCTTTTAATTATTTCTTGGAACTGTTCTATTTCTAGGCTGGGATGATTGTACAGGATAAATCTTTAATGACTTTGAAAAACAAGAACTGGGTAAGTTTCAATTCAGTTATCTATTTATTTTGGATTTTTTCTAATCCAAACAGGCTCAAAAATATGCATACACTCTTAAATCTTTTACTAAATGGTGCTGATTGTTCTATGATGTCTTTTAACTCACAAGGCCAATTAACTTCTCGTTAGTGATCATGACTGTGTACAGCTGGTAGTTTCTCTTTGCAGTATTAAAAGGATTTGTTTGACGGCACTCATTAGGCTGACCAATACTCGGAACAATGGGAAAGTCCAAGGAACTCAGTGAAGATCCAAGAAGGAGAACTGTAGATTTGGGAAGGTTGTGAAGGTCTTGCAGCCATTTCTAAACAACTGCAGATTCCAAGATCAGTGATTCAAACAAATGTACATAAGTAGGCTACAAGTTATTCAGATGTGTCACCACTTTGTTGCTACATCATGAAAATAATGTTGATCGTGGACCAACATTATTATTACCTAAGAACGCCGTACCAGCTGTCAAGCATGGTGGTGGCAGGTTCATGCTGTGGGGCTGTTTTGCTGCCAGTGGTACTGGTACTGTCACAGTCTGGCGAGGGCAGACTGTATGAATTGAGAAAAGGACCCAAAACGCAGACTCCAAGGAACAGGGAACAGAACTTGAAATGTTAACAAAAGGCGAGCCGTTTAATATGGCTGGTAGAAGAGATACAAACAAAGGGCAAGGCAAACTGAAGCAAAATTAACACAAACCTAAACTGGGGAATCTAAACAAACAATAAGAAAAACCCAGACAAGAAACTTGGAAGCATGGCATGGCATAGGAAACATGGCGTGGACAACAGACGACCTGACAATCACACACTGAAAACAGAGGACTTAAATACACAGGAGGTGATTAGGGAAGTGGAGACACATGAGGAAACAGCTGACTAGGATAAACATAATGATGCACAGGCAAGAGTAAAACTAACCGCATGAGCACAGAACACAAGACCCCTTTTTCAAAATAAAACAAGAAACATGCAGACTTAGACACGACAACCAGAACTTGACAACGTAAGACACAGACATGAAACGCATGAAGAGCAGGGGAGATTTAACATGGTTGGAAACGGAGGGGGAAATAATAAGAACTAGAAACACTTAGGCATGATAATACAAACTTGATAACATAAGACACGCAGCATGAAACACGAAGGGTGAGGGGAAGCTTAAATACAGGGGAAGAAAACACAAGGAGTCTAATAACCAAATGAACTTAGATAACCTAATGAACAAAATAAACTCAAACATAAAACGCTGGGTCAAAAGACCCAGGACCATGACAGGTACACTGCAAGAAGTTGATGGAATAATGAAGAAGGATGACTATCTCCAAATTCCTCAAATTCACCTCAAATCAGGACAATGATCCCAAACAGATCAAAACTAGTTGGGAATAGATAAAGCAGGCTAGCATTGAGCTTCTGGAATGGCCTTCCTAAAGCCCCGACCTCAATCCTGTTGAAAATCTCTGAACTGGGCTTAAAAGCCGGGTCTGTGCCAGGAAACCATCCAATTAGAATGAGCTGGCAGAAAGTATAATAGGTGAGTTTTGAAGGTAAAGATATTTGATATTAAAGAAGATATATATATATATATATATATATATATTATATATATATATATATATATATATATATATATATATATATATATATCTGGGACTTATATCTTTGTCCGTCTGTATCTGGGACTTCCAGATACAGACGGACAAAATGGTGGTGGCTAACCAACCGGACATAGTGGTGGTAGACAAACAGAAGAAGACGGCCGTAGTGATCGATGATCCGAATGACAGCAATATCAGGAAGAAGGAACACGAGAAGCTGGAGAAATACCAAGGGCTCAGAGAAGAGCTCGAGAGGATGTGGAGGGTGAAGGTAACGGTGGTCCCCGTGGTAATCGGAGCACTAGGTGCGGTGACTCCCAAGCTAGGCGAGTGGCTCCAGCAGATCCCGGGAACAACATCGGAGATCTCTGTCCAGAAGAGCGCAGTCCTGGGAACAGCTAAGATACTGCGCAGGACCCTCAAGCTCCCAGGCCTCTGGTAGAGGACCCGAGCTTGAAGGATAAACCGCCCGCAGGGGCGTGCTGGGTGTTTTTTATATATATATATATATATATATATATATATATATATATATATATATATATATATATATATATATATATATATATATATATATATAATATATATATATATATATATATATATATATATGTTGCACACACAGTAGGTATATATATATATACCTACAACCACGATTACCGACACTAACAAGCTGATCTACAATACGGCAGCAGTGATCAGTGAGATGCTTGGCTACAAGTTGAACAGCCACAAGGTGCAGTACCCCCCATGGAGAAGGAGGCTAGAGGGCAAGATCAAAGTAGCACGGAGGGAGGTTAGCCAACTAACGGAGTTGCAGAAAGGTGCGACAAATAAGGTGCCTAAGACCAGGAGTGACATGTTTAGCCGCATGTTCTCCTTAAATTGCTGGCTGTCTGAGTGGTGTCCCAGAAACATGGGCTTCATAGATAATTGGCAAACCTTCTGGAGGAAACCTGGTCTTGTTAGGAGAGACGGCATCCATCCCACTTTGGATGGAGCAGCTCTCATTTCTAGAAATATGGACAAATTTATTAAAACCCCCAAAATATGACTATCCAGAGTTGGGACCAGGAAGCAGAGTTGCAGTCTTACACGCCTCTCTGCAGCTTCTCTCCTCCTGCTACCCCCCCAAAAACCCATCTCCATAGAGACTGTGTCAGCTCCCAAACAGACAAAAAACAAACTAAAAACCAGCAACAAACAACTTAAACTTAAAAAATCACAAGGAAAGAACAATACAGTATCCACATCTGAACCAAAGAGTAAAACAGTGAAATGTGGATTATTAAATATTAGGTCTCTCTCCTCCAAGTCTCTGTTAGTACATGACTTAATAATTGATCAACAAATTGATTTACTCTGCCTTACAGAAACCTGGTTGCAGCAGGATGATTATGTTAGTTTAAATGAATCAACACCCCCGAGTCATTCTAACTACCAGAAATCTCGAAGCACAGGCCGAGGGGGCGGTGTGGCAGCAATTTTTCACACCAGCCTGTTAATTAATGAAAGACCAAGACAGACTTTTAATTCATTTGAAAGCCTGATGCTTAGCCTCGTCCACCCCAGCTGTAAAACTCAGAAACCAGTCTTACTTGTTATCATCTATCGTCCACCTGGGCCTTACACAGAGTTTCTGTCTGATTTCTCAGACTTTATATCTAATTTAGTTCTGAGCTCAGATAAAATAATTATTGTGGGTGATTTTAACATCCATGTAGATGCTTAAAATGACAGCCTCAACATGGCATTTAATCTGTTATTAGACTCAATTGGTTTCTCTCAAAATGTAAAAGAACCCACCCACCCCTTTAATCACTCTAGAGCTTGTTTTAACATATGGCATAGAAACTGAACATTTAACAGTGTTTCCTGAAAACCCTCTCCTGTCTGATCATTTCCTGATAACATTTACATTTACAATAATTGATTA